CGGCGACAGTACCCATAATTTTGTCCAACCGTCCGTCGTCGAATAAGTTGTCCTTGCGTACGATCTCGGTGCCTCAGTTTTGTGTCTACATTGGCAATGGTGAGTCTCTACCCTATCAACACAAATGCGCGAAAGTGGTTTTGGATATTCAGGGTTTTTTCTTTCTCGTGGATCTATTTGTGCTCCATATTCAAGGACCAGATATTGTCTTGGGTATTCAATGGTTACAGGGACTCGGCAAAGTCAGACATGATTATAGCGCACTGACCATGGAATTCCAGGTGGGAGATCGGCTGATTACATTTTGTGGTGATAGCCTGGCCACCTGCCGCATTTCTTACAACTCCATGCATACGTTAACCTAGCCTAGCAATGTCGTAGAGGGTTATGAAATTGAATTGTCCGCTGCTTCATCTAAGGTAGAGTTGATCGCGCCTGGGGAGTTTCCGGTAGAGCTTCCACCTGACATTCGGCTCCTCTAGGAGGCCCATCACCCCGTCTTCCCGCCACCTACGGGTATACCTCCCCCGCGGTCGTGGGATCACCTTATCCATCTCACACCAGGGTGTAGGCCGGTCAACGTACGACCCTATCTTTATCTATATTATCAAAAAGTTGAGATCGAAAAGCAGGTGCAAGAGATGTTGGCTCACGGTTTAATTCAATGTAGCCGAAGTCCTTTTTCATCCCCAGTCCTGCTGGTGAAAAAGAAGGATGGGTCTTTCTGATTTTGCATGGACTATCGGGTGCTTAATGCTATTACAGTTGCTGATAAGTTCCCTATTCCTACGGCCGATGAGCTATTTAATGAGCTTGGCCATGCCCGCGTCTTTACTAAGCTCGACCTTTGTTCCGGCTATCAACAGATTCGAATGCACGAGGATGATATATACAAGACCGCTTTCCGCACCCACGACGGCCTCTTTGAATTCTTGGTTAGGCCCTTTGGGTTGACGAATGCTCCATCCATATTTCAAGCGACAATGAACTATATATTTGCATCATACTTGTGGCGCTTTGTAATAGTCTTCTTCGATGATATTCTTATTTACAACCCTTCTGTAAAATTACATGGGTCACATCTCCAGTGACATTGGATATTTTGGCCTTGCAAAAAAGTGAGGAAAACAATGACTTTCCACTGCAAGGCATGCAACTCCACTCACGTGCCACTCGTTGACCGGACTATTTTTTATTGGTTGATATTCTTATTTACAGCCCTTCTGTAAAATTAAATGGGTCACATCTCCAGTGACTTTGGATATTTTGGCCTTGTACAATTTTTTATTAAATTGGAAAAGTGCACATTTTGTGGGGACATGGTGGCCCATTTGGGGCATTTGGTCACCCACGGCGAGTTGCGTGTCGACCCAACGAAGCTCGAAGCAATGGCGGGTTGGCCAACACTGAAAACTCCAAAACATCTACGGGGTTTCCTGGGCTTGACGTGGTACTACCCCCGTTTCATTCGTTCATATGCCATGCTCATAGCGCCCCTCACATCCTTATTACAGAAGAGCAAGTTTGTTTGGGCACCAGAGGCAGACGCGACTTTCCAACACCTCAAGATGGTCATGATATCTCCACCGGTGTTGCGGCTGCCGGATTTTACGGAGACCTTTGTGTTGGAGACGGATGCACCGGATGACGGCATAAGGGCTATTTTCATGCAACAGGGCCACCCCACCTCTTTTTTCAGTAAAAAGTTGGCCCCCTGGCGACGCTTGACGTTGACCTACCACAATGAGCTTTACGCTATCGCGGAGGCAGTGCATAAATGGCATTAGTACCTATTGGATCGAGAGTTTATTATTCGATCAGACCAGAATAGCTTCTGGGAACTGCTACCTCAAGTTATTCAAACACTACACCAGCAGTTTTATATACGGAAGCTAATGGGATTCAAACTCCGTATCAAGTACAAACGAGGGACCTCAAATCTGGATGCTGATGTTTTGCCTCGCAGAGACGCCAATGACAATTCAGCCATCCTATTCCACCAATATGCCTTGCCGCAACCCCAGATCCTACAACATATACGGGAAGAGAATAACACCGACCCCGACCTTATTGCCAAACACCAGGCCGCAACAACTAGGGGCTTACTCGCGCCGTATGCCGTACACAATGGCATCCTCTATTATAACCATAGCCTCTGTCTTGGTAAGTCGTCGGCGCTTAAATCCATATTCAACGATATCTGTCTTGGCACGCCTACTTTGGAGTCACCAAATCGAACAATGATATAAACGTTTTGAATGGTTCCCACATATTCAATGATATCTGCGTTGGACGTGCGCCAGTCGTGCAATTCACTGCCATTGGTCGCTAATATAACATGGGAAGTCATTTGATGGATCTGATCTATCCATGTTGGCTAGTATGTATGAAAACAATCATGTATCGGACAAAATCAAAGAGGGCATTTTTCGCACATAAACAAGAGTCGACACATGAAGATGTAAAACGTGCCTTCGAAGTCCTCCAATCATGGTGGGCGATAGTGAAAGGCCTCGCACACCCGTGGTGCCGATTGTTCATCTTGGACATCATGTTTGCATATATAAGATATTGCATAACATGATAGTTGAAGACGAGGAAGCCAACATCACTCATTTGATAGATGAGGGGACACATCTACTTCCGAGGCCACCATTCGCCAAGGTCAAATGACTCAAGGGCCACCTCGTGATTTACAAGGTTTTGCAAATTGGCGTGTAAGGATGTGAGATGAACGAAGCCATGCTACCCCAGGATGGTTCGATCGAAGAAATTTGGAGGCGCAACAATAATTAATTGTAGCTATAATTTTTGTTATTTTTTAAAATTTTAATTATACTTTTGTGTCTTTCGTCTTTTATTTTGATATTGTTTTTAATAAAGAGTGTCAATCTTAGAATTTTTATTTTAATTAATGTATTTTATTTTTTAATAGAAATCTGGTATTAAAAATGATGAATAATGTAAAAAACAAAGATGCAAGTTTTCAAAGCGATATCATTACAGACTTTTAGAGCAAGACCAAAAATTAGTGAGATGTTGATGTGACATGAATTGGGGGGAGGGAGCGAGATTCCCTCTCATTGTAAGTGATTTAAGTGAATTGTAAGTGCACTAAAGACAATAAGAGCAAACATAATGGGCGAGGTGGGCTGCCATTCCATGCCACCTCAGCAAAATTCTTAACTTTTTGTTTGTTTGCCTTGCGTTGCTTGCAAATTTGACACACATTCAAAAGCCTCAGAGCATTAGTAGTGGCGATCCGTCTATTTGCTACGCCATGCCACATCGGATGAAAAGCCAACCTTCCTCGCATGGGAATATCATTTGCAACGGTCAGCAAGGCATATGCGAGACACTGTAAGCCTATTTTTTTTCTTATATTTTTGAGAAAGAATTCCTCAAAAAAAGAAAAAAAAGGAAAAAAATGTTTTCTAGAAGGAAGTAGAACTACTTTTTACTCTCTTTGTCTCTTAATAGATTATAATTTTTTTCACCCCTTGATAGCTTTTGTTTACTTATTATTTTTATTGATTATTTAATTAAAAAAAATTTGTCACATCTTTTTTTGTAGAATTTTTGATGTAATTTTTAAATTTATAAGTTTTATTTTTAATTCTTTTACCAATTTTTAAATAAAATGATTTTTAAAAACAAAGAGTTTTGCATCGTAATTCTAAAATAATAATCTAATTTGAGATGAAGGAATAAATAAAAATATGGAGTAGATAACAAAAACATTTTTAATAATTAAAAAATATACAAATTATTTATTTATTTGAGTAAATAGAAATATTTTCATGATAAAAATATATAAGTAAAATAATTTTTAATAATTCAAATATGGAAAAAATATGAAAAAAGTGACCGGACTAATTTTTATTGGTTGAAATGCTGCATGTCAGCGTGTGACATCCCTTTTTTGTCTCACCATTGTTCATGTTCTGAGCGTGACATTCCTCACCTTTTTTATAAATATTTTCCTTATTTTTTATTTTTTCATTAGAAAAATTCTTTTTTATGTAAGAAAGTAGAAGTATTTTCTGATAAAGTAAATAAATAAATTAATTTAATAATAAATACTCTCTCCGTCCCAGTGTATTTGTCCAGTTTGATTTTTTCGAGTCAAACTGGACAAACTTTAAACTTCAATTAAATAAAAATCGTAATGTATTTTAACATAAAAATGACTTTATTGGATTTATCGTATTGAGAAATTTCAAAGTTGTATTTCATTATGCTAATATGCAGTTTAAATTGAGAGTAATTAGATTTCAAAGTATGTCCTATTTGACTCAAAAAAGTCAAATTGAACAAATACACTGAGACGAAGGTAGTTAATATTAAAAAATGTAAAAAATAGTAAAAATAATACGGAGTAACTCGTCATCACTGTAAAATTTGTCATTCCACTCATGTATACTTGCTGACTAGATTATTTTATATTATTAAAATACACCATTTTTATTTCACCATTACTATACTAGTGGGTCCTCCTCTAGAGTCAAAATATCCAAGTGAATACTACTCGAATTTCGTACTCCCAGTTAAGTGCTTCAACAAAAGGAAAACACATTCGCCAAACAAAACAAAAACATAAGGAAATTATAAATTTATAGAAAAAAGCTAGGGATACACCATTTGAGGTACCCCATTTGTACCCCTCCATTTCCACCACACTAAAACAAGAGAGAAAAAAATTTAAAAATAAAAAAAGAAATAAAGGATTAAGATTAACCGTATACAAATGAGGTACCCATTTACCCTGGCATTCCTCAAGTTTATAACGTTCCAATTTCCTCTATCCACACTCGACCGTAGTTCCACTATTTATGTGCATTTCCTAATTTGAACTAAAGTTTAAAGGCTTAGTTCATCTCACAGCGCAGCCCCCGATTCAAAGCTTAAAGGCTTTTGTGTTTTCTTTTCTTTATTTTTATTCTGCTTATTTTAGTGCACCCCGTAGTAAATGGTGGGCAGTTGTAATGCAATAAGCTCAACTCTCAAACCTCTTTCTTTTGCTTTCTGTCTCGACATTGATTTGGGTGTAACTGTGTATTGCCTCTCCTGCAAATGGGCAGTTCTTGAAAACCCATAGCTTATTTTTCTCGAATTTATTTTAATTGAATTGAATTTTCAGATTCTGGGCATTGGTGCTTCAGTTTCTTGAAATTAAAAATCTCTCCTTTTTTTTCTGTCTGGTTTTGTCCGTACTGGGAAAGTAGGTTCTTGATTTGCTGGGAATTTTTGGAATTCTTGATATGCCGAGAATGGAGAAGGGTTTTGGATTCAAGTGTGATTTTGTAATTATAATAGCACTGTATGTTGTTGGTATTTCTTGGACTCAAAAGAATGTTGCAGATGCCGAAGCTGATGGGGCAGTGTACATTGTGACTCTGAAACAAGCTCCTACTTCTTCTCATGTTCATACCCTTTTCTCCAGTGAGCTCAGAAATGGCGGTGAAGCTACTAGATTTGTTAAGCAACTTAAGCCTAGGTACTACCCTTTGTTTTTTTTGTTCCTCCAATTTTGGTTGTTTTGTTTTTGAGATTATCATTAACTGTAACTGATGTTTCTATTTGAACCAGCAATGTTTCAAGAACAGATAGAGGACACCGTGGTTCCCGCACGTTTAGAATGCATAACTCTTTGTTGAGGAAGGTGTTCCGAGGAGAAAAGTATATGAAGCTCTATAGCTACCATTACTTGATCAATGGGTTTTCTGTGCTTGTCACTCCCCATCAGGTATGCAAACCACAATATTTAGTCTTTCCCATTTTGGCATATATATAGCTTTCTTTATACATATAATTTTTAAAATGTATGCCTAAATAAGACTAAACCATTCAACTTAAACCATAATAAGACCTCCTATGTCTTAATCCCATAAATAGGAGTGTTGGCACTGTGAACGCCGCAATTTGGCACAGTGGGTTGGCATTCACTGTTTTTTGGCATTATGTGTTTTCATTATAAGACCTATTTTGGTATATGGGTCATGTTTATTTAGTCATAGTAAGGTATTTCTCCCATTATTCTTTACCCCTTTGTTGCATTTTTGTTACATGGAAGGCTGATAGACTCTCAAGAAGAAGAGAAGTGTCAAATGTGGTTTTGGATTTCTCAGTCAGGACATCAACCACTTACACGCCTCAATTCTTGGGCTTGCCAAACGGGGCATGGGTTCAGGAAGGAGGACATGTAACTGCCGGGGAAGGAATTGTTATTGGGTTTGTTGACACCGGAATTGACCCGACGCATCCGAGCTTTTCTGACAATGCAGCTGAAAAGTCGTATCCGGTTCCGGATCACTTTTCTGGTGTTTGTGAAGTCACTAGGGATTTCCCATCTGGATCATGTAACAGAAAGCTTGTTGGTGCCCGCCACTTTGCTGCCTCTGCTATAACCAGAGGGATATTTAATGCTACTCAAGACTATGCTTCGCCGTTTGATGGCGATGGCCATGGGACGTGAGTGTCTTTTTTATTTGCTAAAGAAACCTTAATTGGTTAAGTCCTACATTCATATTAGATCTTTTCATAAAGAATCCCGAACTCTATACTACTATGAAGTATTATATTTTGATCCAAAATTATTACTTCCTTGGTCCGGATTTAGTTGTCCACTTTCTTATTTTTTGTTCGCGTGAAATTAGTTGTCCACTTTCGAGATTCAATAAATAAATTATTGTGAATTGTCTAAAATGTTTTAGAGACAGAGGATGAGACTCGTTGACATAAATGAGTGACAAACTCATGTGAAGGTCACTTTGACATTTTAAACTCATTTGTTAAAAATGAGATTTTGTAGAAAGGGGACAACTAAATCTAGACGGACGGAGTATCTACTAAAAATAACTATAGACTTCTACCATACAAAAAGGGTATTATGTGATGGAACCGTTTTGAAGGATGACTTCATTAACTATACAAACACTCTTTTACTGGCTTTGGTTAAGTTATGGGGTCCTAGCCGATTTCCCATAAGCTGCATTTATGATTGTGCTTTGTGCTGTTTGCCTGTTTCTCAAACCTTTTTTCTCCAACCTTATCGTTTGGCAATTTTTTTTTCCACGTGTTTTCTATTTGTTGTACATATCATACTATAAGTGGAAATTTCATAACAGAGAATCCAGATTTTTTTTGGTTTGTGCCCAAGAAGCAATAAATGTTTCTTATTTAGAATCTCTAGCTTTTAAGCACTCAAGATATTCCACAATGAGCAATTGCTTATTTAGTTTTATGGTGGATTTGCGCTAGGATGGTCTAATTGCCAAATGTTACATGCTCAAAAGTGTAACCAATTAAAAGTGCTGGATTCATATATTGTTCTTGAAAAGATGTCCCCAACGCAAGAACATAAACTCATTTTGGATAGTTTTTTTCTTCTTTGTTTTAAGCAACAAGTTGCTTATTTAGAGATGATTTACTCATCAAGCTTAATAAACTAGTTTGGAATGGTCTTTCAGGCACACAGCATCCATTGCTGCAGGGAACCATGGGATTCCTGTAGTTGTAGCTGAGCAGCAATTTGGCAATGCCAGTGGGATGGCTCCTCGCGCACAGTAAGACATACAATGACTCAGTTTGTCACTGATGTTGTATTGGTACAAACAGACAGACAATGTTGTAATTATTATTGTTACTCCCTCCGTCCCATAATTATCTTCCTTCTTTCCTATTTGGTTTGTCCCATAAATTTCTTCCTCTTTTAAGGAAACAAATATGCGTACATATCAATTCTCTTTTCTCTACACAAGCAACAACCACTCACATTTCACTTTATTAAAAATCATGCCAAGTCAAACCAGGAAGACAATTCCAGGATGGAGGGAGTATTATTGTTGTTATTGTTATTACTATTATTGTTGTTGTTCTTATTATTATTATTACTATTGTAGTTGTTGTTGTTACTACCTCCGTCCCATTTTAAATTGCCTGTTTGCCTTTTTTCTCCGTCCCAAAATAAGTTGCCTGTTAGTTGTTTTCGTAAACTTTTAAAAATAAAATACCTAAACTACCTCTAAATTAAGTCAATCTTCTCCATATTATATTCTCATTCATCATCATCCCTCCTAAAAAATATTGACAATTTCGGAAAATCAACTCTATTTTTAATTTTCCTTAAATATGCCCAAAAGTCAAAACGGGCGATTTAAAACGGGACGGAGGGAGTATTATTACTATTATTATTATTAATACTATTATTATTATAATTCCTCCTAGATCGCCGATTGGAGGGGGGGGGGGGTTGGGGGGTGTGAGCTATCAATTTTACCAACGGAGCACTGTACGTACCCCGGGTCATTATGTAACCTTGCTTCCTAGATCAACATATCCCTTTCGTATTATTGTTGTTGTTGTTGTTGCGGTTATTATTCTGCTATGATATTGATTGTGTTCAATGTTTTTACAGCATTGCTGTGTACAAGGCATTGTATAAGAGCTTTGGTGGTTTTGCTGCAGATGTAGTTGCCGCAATTGATCAGGTGTGCACTTATCATTTTGGTATCATCTCTGAAATAAATTCCATGGTTTGTCAATTTCGATTCAAAGAAAACTAGGCACGCCTTTTTTTCTTTGTAAAATCAAATAATAATGTTCATATCAAGTTTCTTGATATTTCCCATTCCTTGCCTCTACTTCTCCTTCATGTGGTAGTTAATCACTTGAAATCTGCTTTAAGAAAAAAAGCATCTTGTATTTAGGAGGGGTAATAAGGTTTGTTGTTGTATATAACCGCTATGGGATATCTTGGATTTTAGGAAAAGTGATACTATCTCCATCCCGAAAAACCTTTCAGCAGTCCCAAAACACTTCCATTTTCAATTAAAATCTCTCTTTTACCCCTACTTATTATTAACCTACCTATCACATCATAGCTATTTAATAGTAATCTACTCATGACCCATCTTATCCTATCCTACCCTATTATAAATTAAGGGAAAAATTGGAAAGTAACACCAAAACTACACATTCCTTAATTACCATTTTTTTCCAAGGTGTAAAGGTTTATGGGACGGAGGTAGTGAAATTTAGGATTGGGATAGGGATCCGTAGACTGGGCCATAAGACACTTTGGCTGAACCTCATTAAAAGATTGAATCCAATCGATTAGCTAGTTCGACCCGTTGTTTTTCTCTTCAACTTTAATGTGGGATTCTAACAAAAAGCATAACACATCGCACATATTTGTCTTATTATGTTAATCACTTAATCACTAAGGATAGTACATGGCTCTTCTATATGTTAATAAGCTAAAGAACACTCGTCGGTGCTCTAAGTACTTATATAATTATCTCTAACATTGCAATTACAGGCAGCTGAGGATGGAGTAGACATAATAAGTTTGTCAATCACTCCAAACAGACGTCCTCCCGGAATAGCAACTTTCTTTAACCCAATCGATATGGCCTTGCTTTCAGCTGTAAAAGTTGGTATATTTGTAGTGCAAGCCGCGGGCAACACTGGACCATCACCAAAAAGCATTTCTTCCTTCAGCCCATGGATCTTTACTGTGGGTGCTTCCACTCATGACCGCATCTACACTAATTCTATACTTTTGGGCAACAATCTTACCATTTCTGGAGTTGGTCTCGCACGTGAGTCTCTTTTGTTTGAAACTTTGTAATTGTGGGTTTATTTTAATTTTCATTTGATAGAAAATTAAAAGAAAAAAAAACCCGTTAATGAATGTTCCGTTGTGCGCAGCTGGAACAAGTCCAGATGCAATGTACACACTGGTGTCTGCAGTGGATGCTTTGAATGATACGACTGCTCCAGATGATATGTATATGAGTGAATGCCAAGATTCCAGTCATTTCAATCAGATTCTTGTTCGGGGGAATATATTGATATGTAGCTATTCTATTCGGTTTGTTCTTGGGCTTTCGACAATCAAACAGGCCTTGGAAACTGCCAGTAACCTTAGTGCAGCTGGTGTTGTCTTTTATCTTGACCCTTTTGTCTTAGGTTTTCAAATTAATCCTGTCCCAATGAGATCGCCCGGCATTATAATTCCGTCTACCAATGACTCTAAGGTAGTACACACACATATACTCCCTCTATCCCATAAAATTCTTGACACTTGGAATTCACAAAGTTTAAGAAAGTTGTTGAAAAGTAAAAAGTGTGTGATTAAGAGGGCGGAGAATTGTTGGGTAGCCATATATTCATTACCAAAATAGGGAATAAAGTAAGTTTAAGATTTTTTTGGGACATCCAAAAAAAGAAAAGTGTAAGAAATTTTACTGGGACAGAGGGAGTATGTGTGGAATGATTGAGAAAAAGACTAAAGTAGGAGTAGAACATATAAAATATATCAAAATACGAGTTCCATGTTTTTATTCCCAAAATAAGAGTAAAAATGCATATACAATGTCAATGATGCCAATATATTATACCAAAAAGTATTGTGAAATGTTCATATACAATTCCACATGATCACAGTGCAAACTCCTATTTTGGAGATAAAAACATGAGCTTCTATTTTGGTACTTTCTCTATGTTTTACTCCTATTTAAGGTGATTTCTTGGAACGATTCAACTATTTCTGATATGGAGGTAACCTAATGACATTTGTGAATTTTAACTGGTACAACAGATTTTGCTCAAGTACTATAATTCGTCTCTGGAGAGGGACAAAGTAACCAACAAAATTGTCAAGTTTGGGGCAGTTGCGTCCATTTTAGGTGGCATTAAACCAAATTTCAGTCTATCTGCTCCAAAGGTTATGTTTTATTCTGCCCGAGGACCAGACCCAGAGGACAATTCTCCCTGCGATGCCGAAATCTTGAAACCAAACATTGTTGCTCCTGGAAATTCGATATGGGCAGCTTGGAGCTCTGGTGGAACTGACTCTGCAGAGTTTCTAGGTACACACACCCTTCCCAGACACTATTTTTTTGTGGGATTTTACTGAATTTCTTGTTCTCTTTTAAATAGTTTAAAAAAAAACATCTCACTCAATATTGGCGGACAAATAGTTGATTGTTGTTTGTTTGCGCGAAAATGCATATCAGGTGAGAGCTTTGCAATGATGTCTGGAACAAGCATGGCTGCACCACATGTGGCTGGTTTAGCAGCCTTGATTAAGCAGAAGTACCCGTTTTTCACTCCTGCGGCTATAGGGTCTGCACTTTCCACCACGGCATCTGTGTACGATAAGAGTGGGGGCCCCATATTTGCCCAGCGCGCCTATGCCAATCCTGACTCTAACCAATCTCCTGCAACGCCTTTTGACATGGGGAGTGGTTTCGTGAATGCCACTGCTGCCTTGGACCCAGGCCTTGTTTTCGATTCAAGTAAGTCATTATTTATGTATGGAAGCTTTACAAGAGAGAATTAAATACTCCCTCCATTGCATATTAAGTGTCTGTTATGACTTATTAGATACATTGAAAAATAAATGAATCTAGACATACGCTATGTCTACATTCGTTCCCTTTTCATTGTACCTAAAGTCACTTATTAAAGGATCTCTGGTTGCAGGTTACAACGACTACATGTTGTTTCTCTGTGGGATCAATGGATCTTCCCCGGTGATCTTGAACTACACCGGCGAAAGCTGTGACCCCTCCACCACCAATGTGACTGCCATAGACCTAAACTTGCCTTCCATCACAATCGCGCAACTCAACCAATCGAGAGTAGTCCAAAGAACCGTGACAAATGTTGGTGACAAAGAGTCTTATGTTGTTCGGTGGACCGACCCGTATGGGGCTACAGTCAATGTGACACCGACACGCTTCTCTGTTGACCATGGTGAGAGTGTGAACTTGACTGTTTCCATTAACGCGAAGATGAACAACAGCAACCCAAGTTTTGGGAGGATTAGGATGTTTGGAAACCATCGTCATGTCGTGAACATTCCTTTGTCTGTCATCTTCATGGTTTCGCACAACACAGCTAGTGGTTAATGTTGTTGATCTTGTGATTCTGAATTTTGTTATGAACATTTTCGTTATTTGATTTGTTTTTTGATCTTTGTAAAGATGTGTATATATAGTTAATTCTTCTGTCCCGCTTGAAAATTCTATCTTGTAGTGTGGTTTGCACTTTACACTACAAGTTTGAATTTTTCATCGACACGAAGGAAATACTAGATGAAGTTGCAATGTTTTGGCTTCTTACGATCTCTTTCCTTCATTCATTCCCTAAAATAATTTCTTTTGATTTTTTATTAGACTTCAAATTTGGAGACTCGAGTTTCGAGTAATTTAAGCTCCATTTTCAATAAGGCGTTGTTAAAGGAAAGAGGATATTCGTATATATTTTGGTATATATTATTTTGGTAGCTTCCTTGTATAAGGTTGATTTCGTTTTCTTTTGTGATTAGGTTTCTCAACTTGTGAGAGCCTATATATACATGTCTACTTTTGTAAATTGAACACAAGAAATCTAGAGAGAATTTCCTCCCAATTCATTATTCTTTCATGGTATTAAAGCCAAAACCCTAGAAATTTTATGCGACTACTGTTCACAATCGCCCGGCATGGCGTCCATCGATCGTTGCTCAGTTTTAGTCGGTTGTTGCTGTTGTCGGATAACAGAACGGTCGACTGTTGCTCTAGAACGGTCGACCACGTCGACCGTCCCGTCGGCAGAATGTTTGATTGATGTTGCTGTTGATTCTTCCGCCACCGCCGTACGCCCCTCTGCTACCGCCATGGTCGATGAACAACCAAGGAAGATGTTTTTCTCCCTATTATCGTGTGTTTCTAGTATGAAGCTTTCAGGTATTCATGTGTCACCGCGTTGGATTATAGATACTGGGGCATCAAATCATATGACTGGTGATATTTCATTATTGCATGATGTCGTGGGAATATCACCATGTGAGATTGGTTTGCCCAATGGGAAAAGAATTGTTTTTGTACAATCTGGGAAGATTAAATTGACGGAAAAATTAATTCTGCATGATGTCCTATATGTTCCCACTTTGAGTTGCCATTTAATCTCTGTGTCACAATTGACAAGGGATTCGAATTGTGAGGCAAGTTTTGCCAACGATAAGTGTATACTACAGGATCTGTGTTTAAAGACAGAAATTGGTATGGGTGAGCAGGAAGGAGGACTTTATTACTTCAAGGAGCCTGAAAAAAAAGATGATGTGCAGTGCGAAGAAGGAGAGTAAGTTTGATCTTTGGCACAAACGACTGGGACATCCTTCCTCTCATGTTTTGTCTCTTGTTCCTGAAGTTGGAACAAGTAAGAGTAGTCACAGTTGTTGTGACATTTGTTTGCGTGCTAAACAGACTCGTGGGAGTTTTCCTATAAGTTTTTATCAATCTGTTGATAAATTTGATATGATACACTGTAATTTATGGGGACCATATAAGACTCCAAGTTTTGATGGTTCTACAATATTCTTGACCATTGTGGATGATTTTTCAAGAGGTGTTTGGGTACATTTGCTTGATTCCAAACGTAAGGTTGGCACTGTTTTTAAACAATTCTGTGCTATGGTAGAACGGCAATTTAGGAAGAAAATAAAGTGTGTTCGCAGTGATAATGGCACAGAATTTGAATGTCTAAACGAATATTTCCGGGAGCAAGGAATTATTCATGAGACGTCTTGTGTGTCTACTTCACAACAGAATGGGAGAGTAGAACGCAAGCACCGACACATTTTGAATGTGGGTCGGGCTTTGAGGTTTCAGGCTGGTCTTCCGATTGAGTTCTGTGGAGAGTGTATACAGACCGCCGCACATCTGATCAATCGCACACCTTCGTCTTTGCTAGGGGGGTCACACCATATGAGAAGATCTATGAAAAGCCACCCTCTTTGGCTCATATTCGTGTGTTTGGATGCAGATGTTATTCTCATAACTTGAAAAGAGATGGTGATAAATTTGCACCAAGAAGCAATCCTGGAATATTTGTTGGATATCCACAAGGGAAGAAGGGATGGCATATTTACTACCCAGACACTGGAGAAATCAAGGTGCCCCGGGATGTTGTGTTTTGTGAAAATATTTTCCCTTTCTTGACCCCTACAGGTGCATCTCTTGATACAGGAAGTACAAATGAGGTTAGCTCTTATGATGAAGATGAAGAACTGCGGACGGAAGAACAGATGGACCGTTCAAGGAGGGACGGTCGACCGGAGGAAAGCGGCAGAGCAGACCGGCTACAGACGGTCGACCTGATGGACCGTTCCGATGTCCACGGTCGACCGTCCGAGAGGCAGAATGACGGATTTCTGAGAGATGACCGAACGGTCGACCTGGTGGACCGTCCTGATATCCACGGTCGACCGTCCGAGAGGCAGAATGACGGTTCTTTGGGAGATGATGAAACGGTCGACCGTTTTTATTTATATCTAATATCATTTTTATTTGTATTAATATCTAATATCATTTTTATTTAATTTAAAGTCAAAGTTTACCAATTTTGATCGAGTCAAAAGTGGACAAATACTCAGGGAGGGAGAGAGTATTTGATTACATAAAAATATTTTGTATATAGATTATAATATACCCCGTAAATTATAAACATTATACTACTAGGTACGTATTAGTATATAGATTATGGAGTGAAGTCAGAAATATATCTTTAAGGCTCCGTTTGGTACACGAAATTTAAACTATGGAATTGGAATTGAGGACTTCAATTCCAATTCTGGTGTTTGGTAGCACAAAAAATTATGTGAATTTGAAATTGACAGTGTAAAAAATGTCTCGGAGAGTTTGATTCGCTTTAGTCGTGATCCTTCGGCGTCCGCCCCAATGCTAAATTCGGGGATCCTCTGTAGAAGTTTCTAGATGTCCAAGAATGAAGAATTGTATTATTTGATGATGATTACAAGTAAATCACCTCCCCTTATATACATGTAGGAGGTATATTGGAAAGGAAACAATATTAAATACAAATCCTATACAATCAAGGAAACTACCAAGTATAACAATAATAGTAAATGTGTGATATAAACTTTACATATTTAACATGCTACCAGCTCCGTTGGTGAACTGCGTACTCAGAGATTCTGTCTGAAGTCGGTGAAGAGAAGTGATGGTAATCCTTTCATAAAGATGTCGGCGTACT